ACGACAGACAGCTATCTACTGGGGCTTTGGGGGAAAAATAAATAAATAAAATCTTTAAAATGGCCCTTGAAGGGACAAGATGAATGGGACATGATTCTCGGTCCCCACCTTGCTTCCTGTGGATCCTGGGAGTGCTCCCTGGGGGAGGGGCTTGTGAGGTTTGTCAGCTAGAGTCTGATGGTCTCAGTGGTCCCCGGGGCCTGTGCTGCCCTGGGGGTCTGGCTTGAGCAGGGCTGGTGGGGACGGGCTGGGCCCCTGATCCCCACCGCCCTGACTGGAGGCCACCTGCCCGCTCTCCCCTTGCAGAACTGAGCTGCTCCAAGAACGAGAAGGAGCTCGAGGAGCTGCTTCTGGAAGCCAGTCAGGAATCTGGGCAGGAGACACTGTGACACTTTAGGTGAGCGAGGGCCGGGCTGGGGGTTGGGGGCTGTGATAGAGCCCTGGCTCTGACGGGCCTCAATCTCCTCCCCAAGTTCTTTTTTTCCCTTCGGTCTTCGATGAGCTGAGGCCAGAGCCATGAGAATCTGCTCACCCTCACCCCAGTCTTCCTGAGGCCCGGGACGCCAGGGGTGTGGGGGCCTTTCTGGGGACCCCCACCCCCCACAGCAACACTACATGGGGTGCAGGAGCTACAGGGGCCTCCCCGCCCTGACTTAAGCACTTCTGTCTATGTGTCCAGCACTCGAAGACTCTGGCTGGGGGGTGGATTGGAGGAGGGGGAGGAGGTCTCCAAGGACTTTGGCCACAGGCCAGGCGCCTTTTCCGGAGGGGCCTGTCGGGCCAGGCTTGCCTGTCCGGGGCAGGAGTCCTGGGTGGTGGTGGGATGGTCCCCGGTGGCCCGGGCACAGGCCCAGGCAGGAGGCGTGGTGCGGTCGGGCGGTGAGGGACGGTGGTGGTTGACATTGGCAGAGCAGCCCTCGACAGGGTGCGGGCCGGGGCTAGGGTGGCGGGGGGGAGATCGGGGCAGAGGATCAGAGCTTTCTTTTTCTTAAGTGCAATAAATCTATCAGGGAGCTCGGGTGGGGAGCAGCCGGGATCTGGAGACCCTGATGTCCAGGCCACTGAGGCTGCGCCCTGAGAGGCACTACAGCCGGGGGAGGGGTGGTGGGGGGGTGGGGAGGGCTACTCCTGTCGGTGCAACTCTGTTCACACCTTTTCTAATAAACCAGAGCTGAGTTCACCCTTCGCCTGCTCTCTGCTTGTGCTGGTCCTGGGAGCCCCTGCGGGGGTTTGGGGCACAGGGAGCGGGGCGGCCAGGGTCCAGACAGCTCCCAGTTCCAGAGCATCTGTTGGGACATGAACCAGGCGTCCCCCAAAGGAATACCGGGAGGCTGGGCGGGCAAAAGCCACGTCTTCCCACCACATCCCCGCCTTCTCCAAGGAGCCCCTTCTCTGTGTGTGTCTGCGCTCTTGTATCTGATAACAGCTGCCTCACGTCCAGTCCAGTCAACACTCGCCTTCTTTCAGAGGGAAACCACCCTCAGACGCCTTCCAGCTTTAGGTCTAGGTTCTCAGGGTGATGGATACAGCGCTCGGGTTCAGAAGGCCATTCCTCTGCCCGGTCACCTCTGGCTCGGGAACAGACACAGCCTGTCCCGGTGGCCCCAGACGTTCAGGCGGGAGGGCGCCCCCGGCCCTGGAGGGCGCAGCGGGAGGGCTGTGGGCATTTCTGGGAAATCAGAAAACAAGAGCCACCCAAGGGGCGAGGCCCTTTCACCCACCGCTTCTCCTGCGTGGGAGGCCGACCCGGGGTGGGCAGAGGTGCAGTGGAAAGGTCGTGAGGATGACAGTGTCGCTGACTCGGAGCCCTGGGACCGCTCGGCTCCTGCACAGACCCAGGAGCCTGCCCTCAGCTGCCTGGGCGTCGGGGTGGACACCTTCCTGCTTCAGCCACGGTCGGTTTGCTCTTCAGTCACAGGCGGCTACCCGTGTCCTAACTGCTCCCAGGACAGCCAGTTACGAGTCCCGTCTGGGCAAGGGGTTCCGGGGAGCCACGCACATCAGCCACCCGCCCTGGCCCATCCTGTGTCCTAGTCCTGCCCTGTGGGCAGCAGCGTCCTCCAGCTGGTGCCCGCTGTGGCCGCATGTGAGGTGGGGTTGGACAGGGCTCCCCTAGGCTTCCCTTACTTCAGCCCCCTTCTTGGGAGATGGGGGAGTGTGAGGTTTGTCTCAGGATGCTGAGAAACCACAGTCCTGTGCCAGGCTGGCATCTGTCAGAACAGCCCCCAAAGCTGAGTAGGCCTTTGGTCAGTTTTAGCCGTTGCCCAGGAACCAGCCCCAGTGGGGACTGTGGGTGGCAGTGTTGGCTGCTCGCCCATCCCCTTTGCCCTCTGCCTCCACCTCCAGGCTGGGTGGTCAACAGGCTGGGCTGGGGGAGTGGGGCGGGGCTCAGCTTACCTGTCCCTCATGTGGGGCCTGTGAGGGGCTGGGGTCCTGCTCCCAGCCTGTCCCTGCCCTTGCACTAAATTTAGATGGGGTGAGGAATTAGGCCTTTCCAACCCTCAGGGTTGAACTGTGTCCCCTACACTCACACACAGATACATGAAGTCCTGACCCCCACAGATCTCAGAATGGGACCTTCTTTGGAAATAGGGTCTTTACAGAGGTATCGAGTTAAAATGAGGTCAGAGGGTGGCCCCTGATCCAATATGACTGGTGTCCTTGTAAAGAGGGGAGATGAGGACACAGAGACAGACATGCACGGGGGGGAAGATGATGTGAAGACACAGAGCATCCTGTGACGGCGGAGGACGGGAGTGACGCAGCCACGAGCCCAGGACGCCAGACTGCCAGCAGAGCGCCAGAAGCTGGAAGAGGCCGGGAAGGACTGCCCTGCAGGTTTCAGGGGGAGCACGGCCCTGCCGACACCTTGATTTTGGACTTCTGGCCTCCAGGAGTGTGAGAGAATAACCTTCTGTTGTTCTCAGCCACCCCGTGTGTGGGCCTTTGTTACAGCAGCCCCAGGAGACAGCAACTCTGCCGTGCTCCTAGTTTTCCAGGTCTGAGGGGTCCTGGATCACGGGTGGATCCCCTCGGCCAGGTATTTTCTTTCCTTTGCCTTCGGCCACCCAAGCATTGCCGGAGCTTGTTGTGAAGGCACAAGGAGTCTGTCTTATTGCTTGGCTAGATGCTGTACCAGATCTTAGAGATCTCGACATCCTAACGCAGGAGACGTTTATTTTCAAGCACGTGGGTGTTCAGGGGGCAGGCAGCTGTTCTCCACGAAGTGGGCCCCTCCCCCCTGTAGCTCTGCCACCCCCTAGGGCTCAGGCGTCCCTGCACCCAGCAGGCAGATGGGAGGAGGAGCGGGCAGAGGGCAGACCTCGTAACTCCTTGCCAGGGTGGGAAGGGACACACATTTCCGCTCCCTTTTGTCGGTGAGAACCAGCCCCAGGCCTCAGCTGGGTGCAGCTTCCCAGCAGAAGCCCCCCACTCTCGAGGGGCTGCAAGCGCTGGGGGACAGGGAGCGTCTTGGCCTCCCCCAGCCACTCCAACTTCCTCTTTTGTTTTGTTGTTTAACAGTCTCCAAGAACTCGAGCTTTGGCAGGCCCGTGGTCAGAGTCAGAGAAACAGGCAACAGTTTGGCCACGGCTGGGCACCACGTAATGAGGACCACAGCTTCCTCCTGGGGCTGGGAGTCCTCAGTCCCCTCCTAACCTCCAGCCAAGTCCACGGTTGGTCCCGTCTGGTAGCACCCACTCCTGGCGCCAGTTTGTTTTCAGCGTGGACTCCAGGTGCTAAGAAACAGAAGCCCAAGTCACAGGCTTAAGGGAGGCGCAAGGGAAGGCACGATGGCTCCAACAGCACGTCTACAGAGAGTGCCACGAGGACCTGAGGGTGTCTCTGTGGGGGCTGCTTTTGGGGTGGGCTCTCCCCACTGTTGGAAAACGTCCCCCCGCAGGTCCAGGGTTAGCCCCCCAGCTCAGCCACGCCAGGACTGAAGACCAGCCTCCGTCCTGGCAGCTCCCAGTCACAGGTTGGCTCTGCCCTGCATCCCCTGTGAAGCAGTCATGGCCGGGGCGTTGGGGTGCTGTGCGCAGCCTTGGAGCCAAGGCATGTGAGCTCAGTACCCGCACCAGGTGGCGTGGCCTGAGGCTGGGTGCCTTCGCAGAGCTCTCAGCTCGCTCTGGGTTTTCCCCTCAGCCCTCAGGGCCCTGGCTCAGAAGTCATGCCCTCGACCTGGGGTCACACAGAGTATCTTTAGTGTGGGCCCCCCTTTTCCCCCTGGGCTGGGCCTGGCACACCTCGGGCCTGAGTGTGTGGATTTGAGCAGTGAGGAATGGGAAGCCGCCGGGAGGAGGGACACCCCATCCTAGGTCTCTGTCCTGCTGGTGGACGGGGAAGGTGGTGAGCCGTGAGTGCAGCCCTGGGAGAAGCCCCAGCTCAGCCTGGCTCTCCCTCCAGCTCTGTACATCCTGCATGTGCCCCCTCCTCCTCACTTACCTGTCCTCACCAAGGGCACATCAGGGGGCCCTTAGGCAGCCCTGGAGTGACCCGTAGGGTAGGCATCCTCTGGACAGTGACTTGTCTGCTTGCCTCACTGCCTGAGGTGCCAGTGAGTCCTAATTAACCCATTATGCCGGGGTGGAGCCACCCGAGAGTGGAGCAGCCTGCTGAGGTCACTGGGGACACCACCCTCGGAAATGCCAGCTCCTGCCCTGCCCACAGAGGGGCGGGCTAGGGCATGGGGACAAGGACCTGGATCCCCCGAGGCCTGGGTGCTCTCCATCGCCTGAGTCAACCCGCACATCCGTCTGTCCTTCATCTCCCCCACCCCCGTGGCCTCGCCCACCACCCCCGCAGCCCCTCCTGCCACCAGGGATGCCAGCTGAGGCGGTGCAACTCTCTGGGGATGAAACGGGCTTGCCAGGACGGGGAGCCTGGTTCCCAGTCCTCGCTGAGCCTGCAAGACAGGGCCTGAAGACCACTCAGGGGCTTTCACACCTTCATTTATTACACTTGAACCCTGAGTTCCTCACTGGTCCTTCTGAGTGGCTCTCAGACGTGGCACTGACACATGGCCCGGCTCCTGGTGGCAGCTGCCAACAGCTCTCTCCGGCTCACAAATTCCCCTGGGGAATGTGGCCACCAGAGGTTCCAGTCACTGGACCTTGGCCCCCTACACCCTCGTTTGGGGGAACAGAGCTGTGGCCTCCTGCTGCTGCCTGAGTCCTCCATTCAAGGCCCACCTGGGCTGGAGTCCCCCCAGGGGAAGGGCGCTCAGGCCGTGGGGCTCGGCTTGCCCCTGTGCGCCCGGTCCGGGGGTGGCCGGCTTCCCTGCCATGCGCAGGGGCGTGCCCTGCGGTGTGGCCTGATGGGGCCGCCTGGGGGGAGTTGTTGGCTCCAGTGGCGGCGTGGGGGTCGTTGCCGGCAAGGGACTTGGGTGGGATGGGCGGCTTGAGCGCGCTGACAGCCCGGATGAGGCCCATGCGGCGGCGGATGGAGTGGTCCAGGTTGACCGTGCAGTGCAGCAGGCTCTGCGCCTCGGCCACGGTGAAAGGGAAGTCGGCACCCAGAAAGCGCTCGAAAAGCTCGGGGTCGCCATCCAGGTCGAGCACGTTCTGCAACGCCTTGGTCATGGTGTGCAGCTCGGAGCTGTTGTCGCAGAACACGTCCCAGAGGCGCGCGCTGGCCTCGGGCGCGCCCCCGGCCTGCTGCCGGTCCTCCAGGCACTGCAGCACCCAGCTGAGGCGGCAGGGCCACTGGTTGGCCAGCACGACCCACGCCACGGCCTGGCGCGGCGTGGGGCCGCCGAAGCTGCCCTGCTGCTGCTGCAGCAGGCGCACGGTGATGGGCACGGTGTTGACGATGCGCCGCATGGACACCACGTTGTCGGGCACGTACTCGTAGAGGCAGTCGCGCTCGTCGTGCAGGCAGAAGAGTGCCTCCTGGATGTGGCGCGCCGCCTCGGCGTCCCCGCGGCCCTGCGCGCGCTGGGCCCCCGCCTGCGTCTCCACCTCCAGGAGCTGCGCGCCCTCGCCGCCCCCGCCCGCACCCCGGCCCGGCGGCCGCAGGTTGCGCGTCAGCTCGCGGTAGAGCAGGTCGTCGCGGCTCTGCACGGCGTCGTGCAGGAAGCGCAGCTTGGTGCGGCGGCCCATGATGGGCACGGAGAAGGGCAGCGTGACGGTGCGGTTGAGGAAGAGGTAGCCGTTGTCGGCCGTGCCCTTCATGGAGCCGGCGCTCTCGAGGCACGCGGCCAGGATGCTGGGGTCCACCACCAGGATGAAGATGAAGGGCGCGTGGCTGTCCGACAGCAGCGTGTTCATGGCGTTGAGCACGCCCACCACGCGCTCGGGGTAGCACGTGTCCAGCCCGGTGACCTCGAGCACGACGCGCAGCCGGCGCCGCTGGTAGATCTCCAGGAAGCACAGGAAGTCGGTGAGCAGCTCCACCTCCTTCTTCACCTCGCACATGAAGCCCAGCTGGCTGCCGAACTTCTCGTGCGACACCAGCCGCTCGATCTTCTTGCGCTGGCTCACGACCAGGTGCTTGCCCACCGAGTACACGGCCATGAGCAGCCCCGAGCCCGACAGCGTGGTGGCCGCGCTGCCCAATGCGCGGAGCACGCTGCCGCTGGGGCCGCCGCGGCCCAGCCCACGGGCGCCCACCGACAGGTAGAGCAGGCCCACGCCCAGGCAGAGCGCCGCCAGCAGCGCCAGCAGCGCCAGGCACACGCGGAGCCGGCAGTGCCACTCGCGCTGGTAGAAGCCCGGCGACGTGGCCGGCTTGTTGCCCAGCACCGAGTACACGCTGAAGGGCAGCGCGCCGTAGTGGCGGCGGATGCCCTCGCACAGCGTGGTCACCAGGCCGGCCCACAGCTTGTCGGTGCCCGCGTACTGCCAGGCGCTGAAGCGGATGAAGAGGAACTGCACGTTCTTGCGCCGCAGGTGCACCTCGGTGATGATGGGCCGCAGGAACACCAGGTACCACAGCAGCTGCGGGAGGCCCCAGCCGCTCACGGGCCGCGGCCGCCACTGCACGCGCTGCAGCTCCTCGGCCTCGCACTGCGCCGCCTCCTGCTGCATCAGCGCTGCGGGGAGGGAGGCGGGGCGCGGGGACGCACGCGTGAGCGCGGCGCGCGCGGGGCAGGGCCTGGGTATGAGACGGGGAGCCCGGGGCGGGTGCGCAAGGAGAGGCTGGAGCTGGGCTTGGACCAGAAGAGCTCTGAGGGCGAGGCCGAGGGTCAGGGGTGGGCAGAAATCGGGGAGAGGGGACAGAAAGGGGCAGGGAAGGCTCTAAGAATTTAAAGGATGCACGCGAGGTGCTGAGGAAGAGAAACGCGGGGCAGCAAGGTGCTACATAGTGCTGGTCTAATTTTTCTGGCTTACTGCTCCTCCTCCAGGAAGCCCTCCCTGATCCCCAGGCTGGATCCGGAGCCCTCTGGGCTCCCCTGTCCCAGCCCTGCCCACTCTGGGTCGTCACTGTCTGGAGACAGGTCTGTCTTCCCCGACGGACTGTGAGTCCAGGAAGGGCAGGTCCCTGGTCGTCTTGGTTAACCTGTGTCCCCTGGGCAGAGAGGAAGTGCTGGCAAATGTCTGAAGGATGGATCCTGAGAGGCTGGGGGCCAGATCTGCCTGCTCTGAGGGCAGTGAATGAGTGGGAATGCGTGGGAGCCAGCAAGCACAGAAGAGCTCCTGACTGACGCTGTTTCCTTTTTCCTTATAGCCAAATCTTTCCCCTCCCACGACCCTGTTTCTTGTTCTGTGACAACACAGGGGCAGACGTGGGCTCGTTTAGCAGGTGCTCCCCAGGGCTGGGCACATGGAAATGAGTCACCTCCAGCCCCTCTGGCTGCGATTGGGGCTGGGGTCTGAGCCAGGTCCACCCAGCTTTGGAACCCGGCCAGGTTTCAGCTCATGTCCTCAATGAAAACCTCTCTGTTAGGGGTCTTGTGGGTGCCAGGCCCTGGGCCAGGGCTGAAGAGAGGGGTCTGGGGGGCACAGAGGCCAGCAGGGACTTGGCAGGAGTCGGCAGCCTCAGTGAGGAACCTGGGCTTCCTCCCTAGGGTGCTGGGGAGCCATGGAGAAGGCTTTTGAGCAGGGGAAGGACAGGGCCAGAGCTGCATCTTAGAAAGATTCCTTGGAATTGGCGGAGAGAGGTGAGACTGGAGCCCAGGAGGCCAGAGGGGAAACGGGCAGGGACCCGGGGCAGAGGCTGTGGGTGTGGGGAGGGACCTGGCTACTGCTGACTTATGGGCACCGGGACTGGGGTGAGCGGGCCTTGGGGAAGCCTGGGGCTGGGAGGGACCAGAGGCCCAGTTCCTTTTACTGCCCCCTCCCCCAACGCACGCAGATCCTCACAAGTGATCTTGTCCAGCATCATATGCAGGCGGCAGCCGAAGGGGGCGTAGAAACCCACGGTCACGGGGACAGGCACGTGGCAGAGGGTCTTGGCCAGGCAGCTGCAGTACACGTCATCCTCTGTCAGGATATCTGGGGGCCCAGGTTGAGGAGGGGGTGGAGGTGGGGAAACTGAGTCAATGAGGCTGGCCAGGCACCACCCTCCTCCCATCTGCCCTCCAGAGCGCCCACCCTCAGCCCCTCCCCGCACCAGCTGTCCCCTCCCTGACTCCCAGAGGTGACTAGGGTCAAAGCTTGGATAGATGGGGGTTTCTGTGGCCGCAGGCAGCCCCTCCTCCAGGGCCAGCTGTGCTCTCTGGATCCCCCAGGGGAGCTGAGCCCAGATCTGCCAGGTAAAGGCTGGGAGGCTCCCCCCGGCTCCTGCCAAGAGGCCTGTGGGAAGTTGGCTGCCCTGGCCCTAGGTCACCAGGCTCAGCCACAGCCCGTGGTTTCCTTGGGAAAGTCGCACAGGCTTTTCTTGGAACTTGACGCCCTGACGTGCCTGGAACACCACGTTCCATGCTCAAAAGCTGCGCATGTCAGCTCCTGCCTGCTCCGCTAGCCTGGCTCCAGTGTGGACCGGCCCCGAAGACCTCGGGCTCCTCCCAGCTCCCATCCACCCCTTACCCTGACCTCTCTCGCTCTCCATGACCCCATGCCCACAAGTCAGTAATCCTGCCCCGAGCCCAGGCAGACCCTCCTTCTGCTCCTGCTCCCCGCAGCTTGCTCTGCATGACCCGGGCAGAGCGATGCCTCTGGGACGCCAAGTCCCCTCCTCTGAAAGGTGGGGTGCAGAGATGCTGGGAAGCGTGGGTGCCAAAGGGTCTGCCCAGGGGCGGGCCCTCAGTCAATGCCCTGGTCTGGAATGGCTGTTTAGCATGCAGATTCTCGTTTAAGTCCCAGCACCATGTGCAAGCACTACCGCATCCCCTCTGCAGAGGGCGCCCTGCCCCAGGCCCCCACTGAGCTCTACTCTCTGGACTTGGAGCCCCGTGTGGGGGGCGCCAGGCCAGCCTCCTGGGGCATGGTGGGCTGCAGGATCCAGCCCTCGCTGAGGGCCAGCGCTGGGCCTGGGGGCACAGCCGGGAGGGCAGGAGGAGGACCCGGCCCAAGGTGGGCTGAGGTGGCGGCCAGGGCGGATCTGACCCCACGCTGCCTGATCACTGGGGGACTTGGCCTGCTCCAGCCTCTACTTCTGTGTGTGTGAAATGGGCTCCGTGGCCCAGAGGCTCCAGAACAAGGCTGGGCCTGACCTGGAGCCGGAGTCCCCGCTCAGCGGTTGCTGCCTTCCAACCAGACCTAGAAACCAGCCGCGTGTCCCGCCTCCACTGCGGCCTCCCTGGTCAGGCCACCAGCACCTCTCCCCTGGACTCCGGCTTCCTGCCCTCGCCTCCCACAGTCCACTCTCCTGATAGATCCCAATCAGCTCCCGGCCCTCGTGGCCCCCGCCTCCCCCAGAAGCCCAACCTCACCCCAGTCACAGGCCCCGCAGGATCTGACCCCATCTGGCCCTCTGCCCCTCACTCCCTCTGCTGCAGCCACGCCGACCTCCTTGCCGACCTTCAACAGGCCACCTCAGAGTCTGCATTTGCTGACCCTGCTGCCACTTACTCGAGAGAACCGCCCCATCTTTGCTCAACTGTCGCCTTAATGAGGCCTCACCTGATGACCCTATTTAATTTGCAAACCCTAATGCTCCCTACCCCCCTTCCTGCTTTATTTTCCCCACTGTGATTAACACCGGGTGACACACTTAAACTTTCCGTATTTGTTTCCTGTCCCCGCCTCCCCCCACTGCCTGTTGAACGTGAGCTCCATGAGGGCAGGCATCTGTCTGCCTGTGCCCTGTGGCCCCCCCACAACAGAGCCTGGCGCCCACTGCAGGCGTCCAGTACCCAGTCCCAGAATGAATGAATGAACGAATGAATGAATGAATGAGTGGGTGGGTCCCTCCCATCGCTGCGCTGCTCGCTTCCTCCCCCAGGCTGCTCCCTACCCGCTGCTGCAGCTGCTCTCCTGACCTGTCTCCCCCACAGCAGAGCTGGCCAGCAAGCTGGCGCTTATCACCCACCCAGCGGGCCAGGGAGGGAGGGCGGGCCAGGAAGAGAGCGAGCAGAGCCAGGGTGTCAGCAGAGGGAGACTGCGGGCCCGGCCTGTGGACAGGCCTGGGGAGGAAGCCTCAGCTCCCACAGGGAAGCAGAGGCGGCCACCCAGCCCAGGGTCAGGGCTGATCACGGCCCAGACAAGGACCCAGAGGCAGGGATGAGGAAGGCAGGCCCGGGCCCAGGCGGGAAGTGAGGCGGCAGGGACAGAGCCCCCGGGGAGACTGGGTGAGCACCGGAGCTGTAGGAGGTGAAGAGGCTGAAGGCTGCGGGGGCAGGCAGGGGCCGGGCGCCAGAGGGCCCGCTGGGCTCCAGGAGGGTGCCGGCTGCGGAGGGCAGGGCTGGACCGCTGCTGGCTGTGGCGGGTGCCATGGTGAGTGAGGTGGTGGGCGCGGGAGGCAGCTGGGGGGCGCTGGCCGGTCCCATGGGGGCAGCGGCGGTTGCAGGCGGCCCCTGCTGGGCCTGGTGAATGGAGCAGAGCTGCTGCCGCAGGGGGCTGGGAGGTGGGGGCTGGGGCTGCCGCTGCTGCTGCAGGATGGGGTGCTGGGGGCCCCGGCAACAGCCCCTGACACACCCCGAGTGGCCGTGGTAAGCCAGCTGCCAGCGCACCTGGGGGGGTGGTCGACAGGGCCTGTGGGCTCGAGGGGCCGCTGGGTCATGGCACCTCGGGTGACAGCATCCTGGAAGGAAGGAAGTGGGGGTGACTGGGCCTGGGTCTCTGACCCCTGAAGGGCACTGGCAGGAACCAGGTCAGGTCTTCAAATAGTCAAAGAGAAAATGAGAAGGGAGCGTGGGCAGAGGGGGGCTCTGTGCTTTCCCATGGTGGGAGAAGAGGTGCAGGAGCTGGAGAGGGGCGATGCCCCAGCCACCCCAAATTCCTCAGTCCTCGAGGGGTCCCTAGTGGGGCAGACTGAGAGGAATCCATCGGGAGCTGGCCTGCTTGGTCCGGAGGAGGCCAGAGTGATGGGAGGTGGCCGTGGAGAGGAGACAGGGTGGGGAGTGGGAAGAAGGAGGGTGGGCCTGGCCCCTGGCCCCAGGCTGGCGGGAAGGGGGCTGCCTTGGGAGGCACAGGTACCCACCCCTAGAAGGCTGAATTGGCTCTAACGGGAGGTGACTGCCCCCTCCCCACCCCGAGCAGTCACAGCCTCATTCATACACACTCAGTCGGGGGGCTCCCTCTCCCACTCCTCCTTCCCACCACACTGCTCCCCCAGGTTGGGGGGCAGTCCCCACAGACCTGGCAATTTGGGGAGGGGGAATTCTTCCCACGCTGGGGGAGGGGCAGGCCAGTGGGTGTCCCCATTCCAGGGTGGTCCCCCCACAACCCTTGTGCAGAAGCCTGTATGGAGGTGCTAGTGGTGCTTCCTTCCTGGGGTCTCAGGGTCTCCTTCCACTCGAGCCCCCAGTCACTGGCCTCTCTCCCTGCCGGGACCCCCCCAAACTGAACCCTTACCTTTTTGGTGCCCCAACTCTGGGTCCAAGAAGTAGCACTCGTTGGGGGTCCCAGGGGGCAGGGCGCCCTTGGCGAAGTGGACGGTGTAGCGCTTCTGCATGGCAGCAGGGGCCTGCTGAGGGGGCAGGGAGAGGGTGGGCTCGGCGCCCAGCCCCCTCAGGCGCCAGCAGCAGAGAGCCCACTCCCTGTGACCTCGGCAGTGAGAGACCATGTCTGCCAGGTGGGGTCCTGGTCCCCCAGGTGGGGCGGAGGTGCCTTCGGAGTAAAAGCGAGAGGGCGGGACAGGGAGGGATGGAGGATGGAGAACGGTTGGGGGCTAATTTGGGGTGGGTGAGATTCCTGAGGGGCGGGTGACTGTTTGGGAGCCTCTGGGAGTTTCCAAGAAGCCAGGACAATGGGGTGCTGAGCAGACGTGGGCTGGGGTACCGTGGGAGCTGGCGGGTGGCTGGGTGAAACTAGGGGGGACTAGGTATTGGGGGTGTGCGCTGTGGGAGTGGGAGCGTGCCTTTTGAAAAGAGGAAACCAGCGCACTGAGGGTGGGGGTGCGGGGGAGGGTGGGGGGTGGGCAGCGAGCAATGGAGTGGCTGAAATTTCAGGGCTGGGGACATTCAGGAACTGAATGAGGGGTTGGTGGGAGGGGAATTCTGGGGGAGCAAATGGAATCAGGTGGTGCAATTTGGGGAGAGGCTCAGCAAACTCGGGGCGAGATGGGGTGCACCGGGTTTAAAATGCGAATAGCCGAGAGCAGACCGGAGGAAAGATGCTGTCTGGAGGGCGGGACAGGTGAAGCCGAGGGGCAGGGGAAACTCGGGTGGTGCGAGTCAGGGCTCAGTGGGGGCTGGGGGCCAGGTTTGTGGCCCCTGCCTGCCGCCCTCCCCCCCGGCCTGGGTCCCCCGTACCTGATGGCAGCCTCAGCCGAGCTGCTGTGCCAGCCCTCTGCTGTCAGCGCAGGCCCGACTGGTGAGGCCCCGGAGCTGGGAGCCGAGCCGCCCGACCGGTTTGCCCGCCCTGTCCAGTGCTGTCTGCTCTCAAGGACTGGGAGGCTGCCTCCACGCGGTACCCCAGGCAAGGGATGGGGATGGCAGGCCTCCGTGCTGCCTGGGGCGGGACCTGCCAGAGGGTCTATGGGGCCAGCCCCGGTGCACTTCTGCTGTGGGAGGGCAGGAGGCTGGGATGCGGATGAAGAGCCTGGGACCGGGAGAAGACGCAATCCCGGGTTCGGATGCCAGTTCCTCCTGGGCCCAGCTGTGTGATCTTGGGCAAGTGACTTCACCTGTCTGAGCCCTGGCTTCCTCGTTGCTGAGCAACGAGGTGCCAGTGTCGGCACCTGCCTCTCATGGTTGTCAGGAGGAGTCCACAGAGCACAGGGCTGGCACTGGGCACCGACAGCAGCTACGCCTGCTCGGCTGACTGACCCACTTACCGGGTTGCTCAAAATGCTTCACATGTCACGACAATACACACACGACAAAGGCTTCCAGGAGTCACACGCGATGGACGTGCTTTTCCTACAGTAACCCCGTCCTTCTCGCCATACCCCAGTGGTGTGGGTGTGATGCCCACTTTACAGATGAGGAAACCGAGGTGTGGAGAGGTGAAGTCCCTGACCCGGGTCACAGGGAAGCAGAGGGGGCTTTGAAAGGCTGGGGTGGTGCTCTGCCTGCTGCTGGCTGGGCAGGTGGAGGGCTCCCTGCAGCCCTTCTTCCAGAGGTGAGGGCGGGGTGGGGCTGAGCAAGGGGGGCCTTAGATGCCACGGGGGCCCTTCGCCCCCCAGGGTCCTGTCTCTGCACTGCTGGAGCAATGGGGACAACTGTGACTGCCCGGGGAGAGGGCTGGCCTGATGGGGATAGGGGAGGCAACCACGGAATAGTGCCCAGGACAAGGGTTCAGGACAGGAGACGGGAACCCACCCGGCCCTGCAGGGCACCCCTCTAGGGGTTCCGCCTGGGTGGCCAAACACAGCACCCTGTAGCCAGAGCTCTGTCCCCCCCTCCACCCGGGGCCAGGCCTGTCTCTCCTTCCCCAGGCTTTCAAGCCGCTTCTCCTCCCTGTCCTCCACCAATGTGGGACTGTGCCCCCATGCCAAGCACCCCACCACCACCCCGGCCCTCGGCGGGGCTGGTCTGTCTGAGTGGGGGAACCTCCAGGACAGTCCCATGAGCTTCTTGAGGGCAGGGCTGGGACAGTCGCCCACTCCCGCTGCCGTCCACACACAGTGTCGCTGAGTGGCTGCAATTCATTCGGGAAACATCTGCCAGGCTCTGCGCTGGGCAGTGCCACCACCAGAGGAGGGGTCGGGAGGGACCCAAGAGGAAGTGTGTGGAACATAAACAAGTAAACACCACAGGGCAGAGGGAGGTTGTCCAGGAGCCCGCCCAGGGCTGCAGGCGCAGAGACCAGTGAGGAACCGCTCCAGTGGGCGTGGCGGTCAGCAGAGGCCGGGCGGCTACCGGAGATGAGAGGGAGCAGGAGTCTGGGGAGCAGGCGGGGGCGGGCAGCCCAGGCAGAGAACACGTGAGGCCGGCCAGGGAAGGCGGACCAGCTGTGTGGGCTGAGGGGCAGGCCCAGGCAGGGCCGGATGGGGTGTCTGCACCAGACTCTGCAGAGGGTGAGGAGCCACCGTGGGGGTGTTTTAAGCAAGGAGACCCTTCCTCACTCTCGTCTTGGTTTACAGCTCTGAGGGGGAAGTACTTACCCACGTCAGGCAGCAGGGGGCAGAGTCCAGGTGCACGATGCCCCCAGATGCTATGAATGTAAAGGGGCGGGGGAGGCAGGGAGGCTGAGGGACCGATCAGCTGTTCTGGTAGGACTCGGGTCTGCCAGCATGTGAAGTGTGTACATAAGTATGTGGGGAACGAGGATGTATGGCCCGTGTCCCCGCTCCGTCCATCCTCGCTCCCGGCAGCCCCCCGCCCTTCTCCCTGGAGAGAGGTCCGTTCTGTGTGCCCCGCTGGGCACAGAGCAGCCCCAGACTTGTTGACACTGCTGGGGCCGCCGGTGTCGGGGGCCACCATCCCCCTGCCAGGTGTGCAGGGTGGGAGGCAGCATGCTCCAGGGCGTGGAGGGGGCCCGGGAGGGGAGGGAATAAGGGGTGGGCAGCCACATGGTGCTCTGCTCCCCCACCTCGTGCAGGACCTGTGACACAGTCACTTCACAGACACCCCCTCCTCCCAGCGCTCTCAGAGTGACCCCCACATTCCACTTTAGATGGCTCCACATACAGAACCTTTATTGAGCATCTACCATGCAGAGTGATCCGATGGGGGGAGCCTGCCACACCAGCCCCAACTGCTGCCAGGACCACCTTGCCCCATGGATGCCCCCACCTCCCTCTGACACCCACTTGTTGAGCACGTGTGACACCCTGAAGTGGCTGGAGCGCCTGCCTTGCTTGTCACCCCCAGAGCCTGGGATCCCCAGCACCCTCTGGCCACCCCCAAAGGCAGTGGCCTGGGGTCCCTGGGCCAGAGGTGGCTGTGAGGCTCAGCCGGGAGTGGGGCCTGGGGCTCCTCAGGATTTCTGGATCACCACCTGGAACTTACCTGGAAGAGAAGGGCTGGCTTTAGCCTGAGGCTGGGACCTGAGGGGAGAGGCAGAAAGCACCCCAACAGCTCAGAGCTGTTCGTCCCTTAGGCTGGGCCTCAGTTCCCTCACTGGTCAAGGGGGTGATGCTCCCCACCCGCCTGGCCTGCATCCAGGGCTGTGTGGGTGACCAAGGGCACGAGGGCCAAGCATGTGGGCCGAGGGGAGGGGCCCGGCACAGGCTTCTGTGGCACGTACTGCTCAGGGCCTGCCCACTTGGACCCCAGGTCCCCCCATGAGTGGACCTCGGGGGCCAGCAGAGGGGAAGACACCTGGGGGGAGGGGCAGTGGAGGGCAGGACACCCCGCCAGGTGGGGTGCAAGTTCCACGGGGCCCAGCCGCCTTTGGAGTCCCTCATCAGAGCTTCAACCAGAATGACTTCTGTTATGTTCACCTGGATACCCGCATTCGAAGAACGTTTGAAACTACTGGACTGGCTCGCCCCAGGGAAGCAGGCTGGGGGACACCACAGGGCCAGGGGCACTGATGGGCTGCACCAGCTGTGTGGCCTGAGCATGTGACTTAATCTCTCTGGGCCTCAATTCCCCATCTGTAAAATGGGGCTCCACAGCCCGGGCCCACCTCCCCGGCACGCGGGAGCAGGGAAAGGAGAGCTCCGGATCTGTTGCCTCTCTCAAGGGATGGGCAGAATCCCCCCTCCACGACTCACAGGTGGGCAGGGCTGCCACGGAGGCGGTGACCAGGCTCTTGACGCCCAAGGTGCTGAGGGTGCCACGCAGGAGGCCGCAGGTGAAGGCCAGGAACTGGGGGGGAGAGGGGGGGCACAGGTCACTGTGGAAGACGGAGGCCGACACCCAGGACTGGGGCCATGCTGGGCTTCGGGCTTCGCAGTGGGGTCAACCCTTTCCCCGGGCCGTGGGCTGTGGGCCGGCCCCTCAGCGGGGGGAGAGGCCCATCTGGGGGTGGGGGCTGGGTAAATAGCAGGAGTGAAGTGTAGGTGGGGTCCTAGCACCCCCATACCTTGGGTGCTTCCTCCAGATACTGCAGGCCCGAGGCCATCCGGATGAGGAGGGGGAAGCTGTTGTCCTGCAGGACGTAGGTCCCCTGGGGCAGAGAAGTGGCCCAGGGGGCTGGGGTGGCGCCTGTGCCTTTGTCGTGGGGGGAGGGGAAGCCAGGACCCAGCGCCCCCGCCCCGCTGGGCTGAGGTCTGGAAGGACCCCTCCCTCAAAACCACTGTGGTCAGGGCCCATCCTTCAGAGCTGCAGCAGGGCCAGGGCTTCCCACCCTGGGCCTGGTGTCTGCCCACGCAGTGTGTTGGCCCTGCCCCCCTGGCTGCATGACTTTCCGGGGGAGAAGCTGCAGACCCGGCCCGAGAAGCGGCCAGTGTGGGGCTGGGCGCAGCGTGGGCGTCTAATGGGAACCTGACCCAGGCTGCGACAAGCAGCGTCACGCTGAGGCAAGATGCTGCAGCCACGAGAGCGCCTCTGCCCACTCTGGGGCCCCAACCTGGGAGGCTTGTGGAAATTCTGGAAATAGCCTCGACACCCCGTTGTAGCCTCCTGGCTTCCCTCAGACGATGCACAGAGGTGCCAAGAAGGGCTGTGGCTGCCGATGGGATACCCAGTTCCTGCCTCCCAGCTTTGGGCAGGCCCCACTGGTGGGCTGGGCCTGCTGCAACCCCTCTCTGTGGGCTCTCCTGCGTTTCAGCCTCTGCCTGCAGTCAGGAAGCCGGGGCCGGGTGTGTGCACACACCTGGTGATTGGTGCGGAGGCTGTCCATCTGCTTTTGGAACACGGCCACCCACAGGTCTTTGCACAGGAACTTGAGGACGTCCAGCTCCTCCCTGAAGGCCAGCATCTCCCGGGGCAGCCTGCAGGGTAGTGGCAGACACTTGGGCCAGGCTGATGCTGTGGGGTCGGCCAGGCCAGGGTTGGGGAGCCCCGGGTGAGGAAGAAGAGGAAGCCAGGCCAGGTTCCTGCATGGAGCAATGCCACCCTCCTCGCCCAGGCGTGCCCAGGAAGGGGCCCAACCTTGGTCCTGCCCACCTGCAGCCAGGCAGGGCCGGGGAAGGACAGGAGGGGCCGGCTCTCACCTCTCACCCAAGGCCTGGCCCACACGGAAGCCCATGCCCTCTAGGACAGACAGGTTCATCTTCTGTCCCTAGAAGGTCAAGGAAGAGAGGCTCAGGGACCCTCAGCCACCTCCAACCAGGAGCCACCTGGTGTAGTGGCTACAAAGGGGACACAAGACCAACGTGCCCTTCCCTGCCAGTTGAGGGGCGAGGAGACCCGCGAGGGAGCACCTTCCTGCGCCATCTGACCAGGACAGCTCAGGCCTTCGCAGTGGCAGGCTGGCCTTGCCTTGCCCCTCTGCCGCGTGACACCTCCACTCCCTCACACGCCTCCTCCTGGACCCTCTGAATCCCCACACTCCTATCCCATCAGCCCTCGGGACCAGCCCCCTCTTGCTCCAGGAAAAATGGGCACCTTCCCCAGGCTCAGCTGCACCCCTGCCTGTCAGCTCTCTCCTGATAACACCCATCACGTACCGTCAGCACTTCCACCCTTACAACACCCTGTGAGGAAGCGCTCTGATCCCCCAGAGGCTCAAGTGGCAGCAAGCACGGTGAGGGGCCACAGGCGTGGGCCCCACTCTCCCAGCCTGGCCAGCAGGGGGCTGTAAAAGTCGACAATGATCGTCACGCCTTAAAACTCAGCCAAGAACCCAGGGAGGGACACACGGGCTCAGCCAAGGGAGATGCTCCCTTGGGCGCTTGGGGAAGGCGTAGCCCAGACGGCATTCTGGGGGGCAGGCCAGGGTCCCACGGTGGGAGGGGCTGAGGCCTGGGGAGGGGGACAGAAGGAGGGCTGCACTTGGTGTCTGTCCACACGCCCAAGAGTGCGGACGGCAGGGCTGGAGGAGCCGACTCATATGTATTTTTCACTTGGGTGACCTGGAGAGAGCCGAGGGAGGGAGGGAGGGCCCGACAGGGCACATCACGGCCTGCAGCCTGCGGCTGTATGTCTCGGAGAAGATCTGGCAGACTGAGGTGGGACAGCAGAGAGGCAGATGCAGAGCCCAGGAGGGAGGCAGCTCGGTGAGGGTGGGGCCCAGGCTGACCCTCGGCACACAGAGGGCCTGGCCCCCAGGAGGCACTTGGGAAACGGATGCTGAACAAGCGAAGGTGGGGATTTGAACAGACGCTGTCCGCGTGCTCTGTGCACACTCCCATCTAATTTAACAACCTCATAAATCAGGCCATCTTTCACACCGGCACCCGGGGCTCAGAGGGGTGAGGTAAGCCTGCCACACACACCCTCAGCTGCGGAGCTGTCTCTCCACCCGAGCAGGTCCGGCTCCCGAGCCTGGACGGCCAGGTGGGCGGGTGGCCAGACAACACCTGCAGCTGTCCCAGCCTCAGTGAGGTGGCACAGGCGGCGGCCTGCCTGGCGGGGGCTGCCGGGAGCAGGGAGGCCCCAGTAGAGGCAGCCGGTGTTTCAGAGCAAGGCGCCCCTCTCCTCTGCCAGGCCACCTGGCACCCGGGTCCCCGCCCGCCATTCCACGCTCCTCCTGCGAGACCGGGCCTGGGTGACAGTGCTCTCTGGGACCGCCCTCGGTTTTCTGGCGGTCCTGGTTTCCTCAAGCATGGTGGGGTGGGCTGCACGGGGTGAGGGGGCTGCTCCGGGTGGGGTCTGATGACTAAGGATGTGCAGGCGACGAGCTCGGGGTGTGAGACAGTGAGGGGCCCCATGCCTGGTGGCTGAGTGCAGGATCTGGAGCCAGGCCAGCCCTGACACCCACCAGCTGTGGGACTGGGGCAGTGGCTTCCTCGTGTTAACAGCATTATTGCCCAGGGATCCTATGAGGAGTAAAGAAGTTGGTAAACGCAAGCTAAGCACTGAGTCGGCTCGGGCAGTGTTCTTGTCATTGTCATTCACAGCCTCGGGTCTGTCAACCTGGGGGACGGGCCCCCTGGGGGACGGGGGATGAAGCCCTGGGCTGGGAGAAGGACCCCACGAGGGAGGGGCTCTGTTCTCTGGGCTGATGGACCTTCTCTGCCTCTCCACCCGGTGGCTGCCGCTCCTGTGTCACCTCCCTTCTAGAGGAGAGCCCCTGGAGGAGGCACGGCCAGGCTCCACTCTGACCCAGGGCGTCTGTGTCCCTGAGGACTTCCCAGTGTGACAAGGAGAAGCCAGGGCTCCCTCGTTCATCCCACAGACATCTCCTGGCTGGCCTTCAGGGGCTTCCCGACCGAGATAGGGGTGACGGGGCCCAGGTGATGGCAACCCACCTGCAAGGGGGGACAAGGGCAGCACAGAGCAGACAGACAGGGCCAGCTCCACCAGGAGGGTGGGGAGCAGGGAGGGGGAGTTCCAAGCAGACGCTGTGCGCAAGGGCAAGGATGCAGGAGAGAGCGGGCTGGCTGGAGGGAGAATGCAGCTTAGGCCACTGCGGGGACAGTGGGGAAAGGTGCGGAAGGGGCCCCGGTCATCCAGGCTAAGGAGGGTGTATGTCCCCCGTGTGACAAATGCTGCCTGGATGTTCTCGATGTGGGCCATGGGGGGACAAGGCAGAGAGCCCCTGCCCTGATGGAGCAGGCCTCCTAGCAGGGGAGCGATTAACGGTTTCATTACAATCACGAAGTGCCAGGAGGGAGACACGCTGAGCTGTGATAGGGCTCCGGGATGTGCCGAGTCTGCTGGGAGTCTGAAGGAAGAGGAGCTAAGCAGGGGAGGGGGCAAGGGAGGGCAGGCACCCCAGGCCAGCGGCCCTGAGAGGGGACAGCTCGAGAGTCAGTGGGGAGCTCTGAGGGGGGTCTGGAAAGGTTTCCACAAGCTCAGGTTTCCCTTCAGGGAACTTCAGGTGGCCTGGGTTTGAATCCTGGCTCCACTGCTGACTACCCAGGTGTGTGACCTCGGGCAAGCTATCTAATGGCCCCGGGCCTCAGTTTCCCCATGTGTGAAATGGGGCTGAGAGCAGTCGCTACCTCACTGTGGCGGTGTGACCGGCACCTGGCAACAGCTGGATCCACAGCTGTTGTTGCTGCTGGCCCCTCTGTACCAGCCCTTGACAGGGGCCAGTTAAGATCTGCTGAACAGAAAGACAGGGGCTGGGGAGATGGACTCATGAGAAGGGCGGGGGGAGGAAGGGAAGAGGCGAGGATGAGCAGGTGCAGGGAAGAGGGTGGAGGAGGAGGGGAGGGGACGCCTCACCTGCTCGCCCATCCCCGGGTCCCTGCAGGAGCTCGTCAGGGATGAGGGCTTTATCATCTCGGGGAGGGCAAGGCCGGACTCTCCCCTCCGTCTGAATCCTCAGGCCCAGCCCAGAGTCACAGCACTTCTGGGCTCAGCTGAGTTTACACAACAGCCCAGCAAGAGGAAACGAGATAAGGCAGGCCAGAGGGGAACCCCGCGGAGAAGGCTTATCAGCCTCGGGCACTAATGGCATCAGCGCTAGGAGGAAGACACGAGCTGATGGAGGAAAGTCTGGGAAATGAAAAATATGGCAGCCAAAATAAACATCTGTTAACAAGGGAGCTGAAGATGGACAAATCTGTGTGGTAGATAAAGCCTCCCAGATCGTCAGGAACAAAACACGAGGTAGAAAAAATGAGAGAAAAGTTATAAGACACGCTAAGAGATCCAGTAAGTCTAATATTCATCTGAGTGTCAAAAAGACACATAGGGAAGGATGCAGGAGAAGAAACGCTCAGAGGTGATAGGAAACAAATGTGCAGAGCCCAAGGAGGGTTCAAGTGCCAGACTGGGAAGGGCCACAGGGCTCCGAGGAGGACGAGGAGAGGACGAGCAAACCGGACCTGCACCCCACACATCCTGAGTGACTGGGAGAGGGCGTCCAGGGCTGAAGCAGGAGGGCGTCGGGGGTGGGGGGGCTGTGTGCCTGCCTGGTCCCTGCTTATCTGTGAGGTTCAACCACCACCCGCAGAGCCACTGCGCGCAGGCCCGGGGTGGGCACCGGGGAAGGGGCAGGCCTGGTTCCTGCCTTAGGCACAGGGAGAGGGGCCTCGAGTTCTCCGCCTCCCCAAAGCGAATGGCCTTGGAAGACCCAAAAGAAGCAGAGAGTGAACAGGTGAGTGAGGATGAGCGAGGGAGGAGCCAGCACGCCTCCCACCCCACCCTGTCGCCCTGGACTCTCCCCCCTCATCCACCCAGGCGGTCCCAAACAACCCCGAATCCGGAATCCCCCCTTCTCCCCTACAGTCTCAGAGCCCGCCCAGTCCTCCCTCCCTCTCCACCCTGGCCTCTGCTCTGCGCTCCTGCAGCAGGAGGGCCCTTCCTCGCCCTCATCCAGTCTCATTCATGTGCCCAGGGAGGTCTTGCTAAAATCTCAGTTCACACCTTCTGTGGCTCCCACCACCCTTGGGACAGGGCCCCGGTTCCAGGGCCGGCCCACGGAGACCCTGCCCCTGGCCCCCTGGCCTCAGATGCACTGCATCCCCTCTAGGGCTCTGCCCCCACTGTCTACTCTGCCAGGAACAGGTGGGTTTCCCCCGCTCGTGCCCGAGCGCAAGGACTGTATGTGACAGCCGCTGCACCACCCTGGGCCTCTTGAGAGAAGGGGCTGGCGTGGGCGCTCAGGGGCTTTGGTGGACAAAGGCCTGGCCACCTGCAGGCTCACAGTAGTGGATGATGCTCGCTATATGCCTATATGCGGCAGAGGAATTCACTCCTTTGCCCATGGGCTCCCTTTATCTTCCCAGCTTCTGAGGTGGAGAAACCACAGCCTCCTACTCTCAGAGGAGATTTTATTGCTTTGATAACAAAGGTCAAAGGATCTTTTTGCTCTGGCCAGTCTTCCACTCAACCTGTAACCATCCAGGAGCATCCATCCAACAGCCACGAATAACCAGCATACCAGGCAGGAGATGGAGATCACCAGAGCCATCACTAAGTGATGACTGTGGCTCCTGGGCACCTGTGCCGTGGGCACAAAGATGAACGGGCCACCATCCCTGTCCTCGAGGAGCTCTGGAGCCAGACACCCGGGTCCTGATTTTGCCTCTGATGGTGGCTGTGCGGCCTGGGGAAAGCCCGCCCTGTCTGGCGCCTCAGTCCCTCCTGTGAAGTGGGACAATGTTTACCTCATAAGGCTGTTCTGAGGACTAAATCAGATGAGATATGGTGCTGGGGACACAATAAGTTCCCAAGAAACAGGAGGCCTGCGTTTGGTTGAAACAGGACACTTGTTGGACCAAAGAGAAGGAACAGAGAGTGGAGGAGGGGCCAGGAGCGGGAGAGAAAGGACTGGGAGACAACGGAGCTGTTTCCCGCACCAGGCCCCTGAAAAACGGGGCTCCCCGGGTCAAGGCGTGTGAGGGAGCTGCCACGGCCCCCATGCCGGGCTGCCCCTGGAGCCACCGGGAGCTCTCTGAGGCCCGTCCTCCCCGTTCTGCTCCAGCGGAGTCTCTGGCCCTCAGCATCGGATTCCAGGGGCAGCCGAGGAGAGCCACTGCCCTACAGTCACAGTCCTGTTTGTGTGCGCCAAAAGCCCTGGGTGAGCACACCCAGCAATCGAGTGTTTCCCACGCTGGCTTGACCACAGAAACCCATTGAAATCCTCCTGGAGAGGGGTAGAGTTAAGACACACTGTGGGAGGTTATAGCACAGGCTCAGAAGCGGGAGGCCTGGGTACATTCCTGACCCTGCCACTTTAGAGCAAGCACCCCCTCCATCAAAGCCTCTGTTGCTTCATCTACAAAGTGGGGAGCACCCTGCTGACTTCTATGGGCTGTTAGGAGGATCAAGTGAACCCAGGAGTGGGAAACCCATGAGAGCGCATGGCAAGACTTATACACGTAGATGCTATCACTGGTCACAGTACTCAGTAATCCCAGTCCCCACCGCCACCCTCCACGGCATAGGGGCTGCATCTTCAACAAATCCATGCCGGACCTACTGTGTGCACAGGACCTACTATGTGGTGATCCACACAGACCTGGTCCAGGCCCACACAGCGCGCAGTCTGGCAGGGGAGACGGATATGGATCAAAGGATCATACAGATACATAATTCAGATACATACTTATCAAGTGTGATGAGGGCTACCAAGGAGAAGCTGGGGAGGGGGCTGTGAGAAGGTAACAAGGATGCCTGACTTCCACTGGGGCCTCAGAGGAGGCTTCCCTGAGGAAGGGCATTTGAGCCAAGATCCAAAGGATTAATAGGTGTGAACGCAGTGAAGGTGTGACAGGTGAAATGAGCTGAGAGATGAGGGAGGAGGCTGGTACAGGGGCAGAGAGGAGGGGACCTGGGCTAAGGCAGGGGCAGGGACAGATGGAAACCTATTTAGACAGCGGACCGGGCAGGGCCTGGTTGAAAGCTGGAGGGGAAGGAGAAAAGGCAGATTTCAGGGGCTCCTGGCTTTCTGAGTAGGAAGCCAGGATGGATGGGCTGCTGAGACACCGCAACCCCCTCCCCAACACACAGCCTAACAGACGCTCCCTCTCCATGCTTTAGCTTTCTCCCAGCATTTTCCCGACGTCTATACACTTGACTCATTTATCTCAGTTGTCTGTCTCCCACACTGCAACAGGAGCTCCAGAAGGGCAAGGATTTTTGTACAGTTCACTGAGGAATCCCCAGAGCCTACAGTACCACCGGCACCTTCCAGCTTTTTGTTACAGTTTGTTGAATGAATGAACTCAGGAAGAAACTATGTTGAGACGGTAACAGGCAACACCCCCATTAGGGCTCCTAACTTGGGAAGAAAACCTAAGCCAATAAAAATGTCTTACAGGGCCGACCCGGTGGCTTAGCGGTTAAGTGCGCGCGCTCCGCTGCTGACGGCCTGGGTTCGGATCCCGGGCGCGCACCGACACACCGCTTCTCCGGAGGTGCTGAGGCCGCGTCCCACGTACAGCAACTAGAAGGCTGTGCAACTATGACATGCAACTATCTACTGGGGCTTTGGGGGAAAAATAAATAAAAATTTTAAAAAAATGTCTTACATATAGATGATGATGTAAGAATAAAGAAAGAAGTGACCTCAGCCCCTGTTTATAAAGTACCTACTCCTTCTTCCCCTTTCTTCTTGGTAACTGATTTTATAACAAAAGCTCCCATGTTTTGAGGGCCATTATGTGCCAGACACGGCATGAAGTGCTTTCAAGTCTGAGCTCATTTATTCTTTCTGAGGGCTGACTTCCAAAATGCCAAGCATGCCCCTACCTCAGGGCTTTGCACCTGTTTTTCCCTCTTCCTGGAATGGAATGCTCTGCCCCCCACTTATCCATGAGGTTTGCTTCCTCCATTCTCTTCCTAGAAAGGCTTTTCTCCACCATCCCCCACTCCATCTCTTTTCTTTCCCTGACTCTACTGAAGTTTTCTTTGTAGAACTTCTCTCTAGCTGGTAGCAGAGTATATTTTTATTTGTTTGACTCTCCTACTGAAATATAAGCTTCGCGAAGACACGGAAACAGTGCCTGGAATACACTAGGCGCTCAGTAAGTTTGTTGAATGAATAAATGTCTCACTCTGAGTCTTAGGTGCTGTTCTGATCCCATTTGACAAAGGGGGACACTGAGGCACACAGCGATTGAGTCATCGGCTCTCACACCTACTGGCGCGGGCGGGATTCAACCCAGACAGTTAAGTCCTCAGTACACGTCCGGTAATAGTAATAACTGTCACTACCGCCCGCTTACCCTGGGCCAGGCCTGGGCTAAGAGCCTTCCCCCGAGCTGTCTCGCTCGGTCCTAGAAGTGACCGCGAGGCCGGCCCTGCGGCGAGCCCGCTTCACAGCGGACGGCGCCAGCCCCCGAGGTCGCCCAGCGAGGCAGCGCCGGGGTCAGGGTTCCGCGCTCCCCGGGGCCTCGACCCGGCCTTCCCGCCGCGGCCCGCGCCTCCTCCCCCGCAGCCCCGGCGCTCACCCCGGGGCCGGGGTCCGGGTCACGCGCCCACAGCTCCGCCACCATCTCCGTGTGCAGAAACTCGAACAGCACCGCGTCCGCCATGCGCCGGCCTCCCGCGCCTAAAGAACGCCCGGCGCTTCGCGCTCTCATTGGCCCAGCTGTGTAAGCCCCGCCTCCTGCACCTAGGCGCGACCCCGCCTACTCCCACTTCCATTGGTGTTTCAGACTAGTCCCGCCCTCCTCCTCTCACGCGGTGCGCGCGTGAACGCGGGAGATTAGGGGGCGGATCTACTTCTTTCATTGGCCACACGTGACAGCATCTCCGCCTTTCCCCTCCGTCTCTTCCCTGTTTCCGGGTCTTCGAGCATTTCCATTGGCCGAGTCGCTGGTGACACGTGACATAACTCGTTTTATAAAATCCCTATTTGTCCGCTCGCTTAGCAGCACAACCCGGAAGCGCCCGCCCAGCCACTTTCCTATTGGCCGTCCTTACATTCACGTGACTCTTCGCATACGCCCTCGAAGTTGGTCCTGAGGGCTTGCTTCCTGGTCGGTAGCCGAGCGGCACACGTGATTGGCCGCCACCGCTCGCCTCCCCTGCTCCCCGATTGGGTGGGGCTGCCTCCCTGCACCTCCCTCGGTGAAGACGCCGCGCTTCTGCTGGGTAGCGGATCCCGGGGACTCGGAGCTTCGGTGACCCGGTATGGCCTTCGGGGATAGCGCTTTCCCCTCGCCCCCACTAGTGCGCCCTCCCCAGAGTCCAGCCGGACTGTCACCCTTTCTGTGACCCTGGCACTGGCTCCTGGGCAGCCAGGGGGCCCGTGTGCTTCCGGATCTGACACCGGCTTGGAGGACGGTGTTGTGGGTGTGGCCTCTGCGAGAGGCAGAAGCGGAAAGAGCTCAGTTTGGGACTCTGGGAGGTCGGGCCTCGGAGCCTTAATTGAGCTGGTCCTCAGTTTCCCCGTGCGTACACTGAAGAGGCTGGGGCCAGTAGCCCCCACCATCACCGGCAGGCACGATGAGCCCCGTGCACAGAAGAGGAAACTGAGGCCCAGGCAGGGGAAGCAGAGGGCCCCACATCGCTGAGGTAGTCAGTGGAGGGGCTGGGAATCCAGCAGCTGCGCGCTTCGCCCCTCATGCCATGCCTCCGCCCCCCTTCCCCCTAGCTCGGCGCATGGCGTCCCAGGGTCGTCGGCGGAGGCCCCCGCGGAGGCCCGAGACGGTGGTGCCGGGGGAGGCGGCCGAGACGGACTCGGAGCTCTCCGCGTCCTCGTCGGAGGAGGAGCTGTACCTGGGCCCCTCGGGCCCCACGCGCGGCCGCCCCACGGGGCTGCGGGTGGCCGGGGAGGCCGCGGAGACCGACTCGGAGCCGGAGCCGGAGCCGACGACCGCGCCGAGGGACCTGCCCCCGCTCGTCGTGCAGCGGGAAACGGCCGGGGAGG